TTTGACGTTATCTTTCATGTAATTATTTCGCACATTGCTTCTGAATAGAATAACCTGTCAAACGAGATTTTAATAGATTCAATGTCACCGGAAATTTAACGTAATCGTAAACACAAACACGTTCATTACGACTAAATTACAGTCGGAATATCCGGATACATATTTTGAAAATAATATGATTGATCTCTGACTAAACAGTTATGTTTGATTTAACAACATACTGGGATTATATTCTAACTCTATGTTACAAAGTTGCAACGTTATATGACTCAGAGAGAGAGAGAGAGAGAGAGAAATCTAATTCTAGAGTTCTTGGTTAAAACTTGTTGTTCTAATTAATTTATAAATAACATATAAAATATATCTTTTATGTATTTATTATTAAATTATATAATATTTATATATAATTATTATCTTGATATATTTTAAATTTGCACTGTAAATTTGAACAAAGGATGAATGTTAAAACACAGAGAAAATTTAATTTTAATAAAAAATAAATATACTTTGTTGCCCTTCGTAGAATAAAAATTTATTAAAATGTTGACAATATATATCGGAAAAAACATATCAATACATGTGTACATTATCGAAAACTGTATTAAACACACATACTTCATTATATACATATAAATATACATTCTTATATGTTGATATACAACTCATTTAAATAACACGTCCTATTTTCTAAGATAGTTTAATAATAGCCGATAAACGAACTATCTTATCCGTCATTACGTATTCTACATAAATAGTATTCTCATTTGCAATTTGTTTCTATGAGAATTAGGTCGACGCGATCGAAGGCAAAGCAGGATATAATATATAATGCGATAATGCCTGTAATCTTGACAGATTTTAACGAGTATTAATTAATCGCTTTATTCCTCTGGTAACTTGATCGATCTTCGCTCAGTCTCTTCCGTCCGAGAACACGCATTAAAATCGCGCCCCCAATTTCATTTCACATTATTTCACAAATTTTTATCTGTATAAGTAGTTTTTATATAAAATGACCAACTCTTTCCTAAAGCAAAACACAAAGAAGAGAAGAGAGGAAAAAAATCTGGTTTTTCTTTTCGGAGAGAATGTTGCTACAAAATCCGCAAAACTGACTTCGGTTTTACCATACATTAAATTTAGAGATCTCTTAATTTTCACTCTCATGCGAGACTCCGTAAGGTCCGCTGAGAACTGAGAACTTTCGCGAAGCAAAACGCATCCACGCGCATCTCGCGAATACGACATTCACGTAGCTACTCTCGCGATTCAGTGAAAGCACAATCATTCTCTATGGTTTGTACAGTAGTTGGCGTTCGTGATGACGAAATAAAATTTGCCGTGTCGAGAAGAATGTTCAGCCACAAAATTACGTTAACGTACATTTTTAGTATCTGAAATCACATTGATTCTTCAGAGAAAAAATATGTATGAAAAACCAAACTTATAAAATTGGCAAAACTTGTTAACGAAACGTCAAAATTGTCGATTCTAATCTTCACATATGCAAATTAGATTAATTTAAAAATATCTTCTACACGCAAACAACATTCTCGAGTAATTATTAAAATTAGTTTGGTAAAATAATACACTTTTGCAGACAAACGTCGCTGGTAACTACAAAATATGTGTCGACACGTCAGCATTATTATCCACCTGTAACGAACAATAGCACTTTTGCAAGATAATATGACTGTTACGAATTACAATTGTATGGTTTCGTAACACATCCTGGCGCGAATTAGTGAATATATATACATAATGAATCAGAATTTCCAACGATAAATTTCAACGATAGAATTTTGAAGAAATTTCTGAAGTCGATTTTTATTAACTTCAACGTCGCGATAGTTTATTTTTACGTCGTTTATTTACATTTAATTCTTCAAAACGTTGTTCATTTTTTACTTTTATTATTTTTAATAATCGACGTTACGTTGTCGTACGGTACGAAAATCATATCTGTTTTTCGAAATTATCGAGTTTCTATGTCGTGGGTTTTCCCGCGTGCGCGTGTTCTCCGAACCGGTCCGCGAAACCTTTGGAGCGGCACGCGACACCGCCGTTTTCCAACTGACAGACGAAGGAGAAAGGATTCGCATTGAAACGCCTGTGCACGCGGCCATGGCGCGCTGTTTGACATCGGCTTATCGGTATTATTAGTTACTACCGCTCAGCTGAGCAGTGTTGAACCGGTGAGCGTACAACATACAATAATTTATGTAAGATTTGCGATTAACCAATTTTTTTTACCCGGATAGGAAACTGGAATGCTTATTACGAATAAATTCATTACCGTCATTTTATAATGCTATATTGTAAGGATATTTATTACACAAGTTCCAATTATGTTTCATAATGTTAGATATTATATTAAATGTAATTACATTACGTTAAATTCAATGTATTTGTAACTGTAAAGTATTTTTTATACGTATACAACAAATTTAATATATTTTTCATAAAATTTTATAAAAATTAATGTAATTTCTATAAAATTTTATGTAAATTTGCATAAAATTTAATGTACACGTTTATTACATTTAAGACTACGGTAACTTATAGTTTTCATAACCCATTCATTACTTTTCAATTACCTTATAACCACAAGTTTCAACCATTACATGTTATTCAACATGTATACAAATTTATTATAACATTTCTATGAACGCGATGAACTACAAAAGAATGATTGTTTCTAGCTGGTAACATATCTACGATCTTCGATATTTTTCCATGTTACATACAGCATACACTGTTTGATTTCCATGCTATGTCTACAGAATATAATTGCGAAACAATACATTATCAAAATACATATATAACAAATAATTAAAAAAATTTTTACTTACAGTATTTTGATTAAATTTTTTGCTAATTTTGGTCAAAATGTTTCAAAGCAAACATAAAATTTAATAAAATATTAAAGTTTTATCATAGTTTGCAATTCCAATGTTTACTATTCAATTATTGAAAATGTATAATTATTTTATCTGTAGAGCCTACTTATATTTATAGTGATTGTAATGCAAATCGTTTAAATTATAAAGCGAATAATCACTCAAGAAAGATTCTTTTAGTTTCTTTTTTTTTTTTCAAATAAAATCTTTAATGTTTGATTATTAATTTTCAATGTAATTTCTAATGTAATTAGAGAATGAAAATACCTAGTCTCGCGTTAGAGTGCGTTAGAGTGCTCGCTTAAAAGATACTTAAAAGACGTCTTTAAGACATTTTATGACTCGATTTTGGACTTTTTGTTGTTTGCATAATTACTTTTACTAATAAAAATATATTATAGGAAATCTGTTTCATATGAAATAGACGCAAAATATGATTTATGCGATTAATTAATCAGAAAAAACATTAAGAATTTATATATCTGTACGATTTGATCTTGACAAGAGCTTGCTGATATTTAAGTTGAAACAATCTGTAGTTTCTGTATATGTATAAACCCATTAGGAAAATAAATTTTAACAAACAGCTTCTGCAGATTTATCTTTATGTTACACAATACATTACATACATTGATAGAAATGTTATAATAAATATGTATACATGTTGAATAACATGTAATGGTTAAAAAAACTTGTGGTTATAAGGTAATTGAAAAGTAATGAATGAGTTATATAGCTAAAAACTGTAAGTTACAGTAGTCTTAAATGTAATAAACGTGTACATTAAATTTTATATGCAAATTTATATAAAATTTTATGAAAATTACATTAATTTTTATAAAATTTTATGAAAAATGTATTAAATTTGTATGTATAAAAAATACTTTACAGATACAAATACATTAAATTTAATGTAATGTAATCACATTTAATATAATAACATTATGAAACAAAATTGGAACTTGTAATAAATATATTAAATTTTAATGAACTTATAATAAATACGTTGAATTTTATGATATTTGTAATAGTTCTGTGTTAATAATTTACCCCCGTCAAAAAGAAAATTAAGTTACTTATTAATGAAATAAATATCAATTTTGCTGGAATAGAATTAATTTTAATTTGTCTTGAGTATAAGACAACATTTTTTCCTTATTTTCCTCAAACGTTATTATCAGGAGTGAATGATATTCTGGGTATACATGCATAATATCTCGAAATAAAGTGCATATATGATCTGACGAACAAAATAGAAGAACAAATTGTAAAGAATCTAAAATCTTGTCGTACCATCCAACTTTAATGCACAATAGCAACCAAAGAAACCTGTGAAATACATGCGTTTTTTGTTACATAATATTTTTAAATAATTTGTATGTAAATATGTATATTTACCGTATTTGATAACTTTTAGTTTCGAAAAAATAAATTTTTGACATTAACATTATTTTTTTCACGGTTAATTGCTTATAAACAGAATGTAGCTTGTCTAAAAAAATTATTTCTTCAAAATTACAGAAGTCCTGTTTTTTATATATAATAGGAGGTACATTATAAGTATTATCATCCCATGTAGCCCATCCTTCTACTAATTCGAGACACTCTGTTTCCCACGCGATTTTACAATGAGGTACAAGAAGATTCGTAGGTATATTATAAAACCAGTAGTTCCACTCAATCGACTCTAACTATAATAATATAATAATAAAATAAAAGTTATTATTAGAGAGAGAGAGAGAGAGAGAGAGAGAGAGAGAGAGAGAGAGAAAGAGAGTATAAATACTATTTAAAATATTAACACTATTCTAATTCTATTCTAGTTTATTTGTATATATAGAATGTGTTACCTCTTTTTTATTCTCAGGAAAGGATTTAAACAACAAACTTTTCCAATCATCCGTCGTTATACTTTTAAATGCGAAATGATGAAAATAAAATTTAAAAAATGCTTCGAATGCTGAGGATCCTAATTTATTTTCTAGGGTATTTAAAAGTTCACATCCTAAATCGTAAGGTATATATTTAATGTAGTTTATAGGTAACGCTTGCAACAAATTGGGTATTAACGGATTTAATTCGATGTCTACCGAGTTAGTATTATTTACTTCTCGCTTTAGTATCGCTCCTAGTATCTATAATATGATTTAAAAAAATAATGTAGCAGAAATGTGTATACGTGTTTACTATGTACACGTAATGTAAAAATATTGAAATTTGGCATTATATTCAATATATTAATAATTATTCCATTTGTCTTAATCAAAATAAACAAAATTAATACTCTACCATCTTATTCAGACCCCCACATAATAATTTTCTGTAAAATATCTGCATTTTGTCAAGCGGCAATATTTGGGAAATGATCTTCCTACAAATAAACATGCTGAAACTTTTATTTAGCCAAAAATCATTATAATTTGCACACGTAACTGAATGTCCTGCCCAGCTCTGTGTGATACTTAAAGCGAGTAAACTGACACTAGAAGCATCTCCATTAAGTAGAACTGGTGAAATAAATGCTACGGATGGACATTCTATTTCGAATGAGCCGAGACATGGTGGAAGTACACATATATCGTATCTTTCTAAAGATATTACATTTTTAATAAAATAATAATAATAATAATAAAAAAGAGAATTGATAATATTTACAAAATAATAAAGTTTTCTCTATGTATAAATATAAATAATAAAAATAAATAATTTGATTGATATCTTACCCCAACAGTAAGGTCCACAAAAATGTTCAGCAATCTTCAGCATGTTTTCAATTATATCTGTATGAAACGTTTTGACAGCTTCATTAATAAACCTGTTTTCGGCAAACACATTGGTTTGAGAATTAATACGTCTTTTCTGTAGTGAACCCACAGCAATAATTACCGCGTAAGATGCTACAGGATGCGTTTGAAGGAATTTATATCGATTAAACGTCGAATATATAGATTCACTTAAAAGTGCGGGCATTAGAACTGTAAAATCTTTTGGCACTGTAATCTAAAAAATATGAAATGCACATAAATAAAAATTAAATGAACCTTTATTTTAGATTAATTAAAGCAATTTATAAAGAATAAACATTATTATGTTTATCATTATACATTTAATTTTTTTCACAAATACATTTTACTTTCTTCGTAAATTTTTATTACTTTTATCAAAATAATGTTAATATAATAATCAATCGTGTCACCGTTTTTATATAAATGTGTAAAATGCAAACACATAAATAGTACTATCTACATTTAAATTTTTACCGTAGCACTGTACGTAAATTTGACAGATGGTGTATCTTGGCAGGGAAATACTGATCTAGCAAATATGAACTAAAACAATAAAAATTGTTATACATATATGTTGGTGTTGAATAATTTTACTTAATCAGTTTACCTTGTTATTAGACAATAGAAAGGGATGTGTACCACTGGCAGTTTGTGCAGGTGACAGCCAATATAACGCAGGTGATAACTTATTTGTTTCATAATCAATTTGAATTTTATATCTGAAAGTAACGTATTATTAATAATATACTCGATTCTTGCATCAATAATATTTAATAATTGCATTTTTTTTAATGTTTCATATTCACTGAGTTTTCTTCAACACAAAATCATCATTTTTAATTTCTGGTAACTGTATAGCAAGCAATCCCCCAGTAAAATGTCCTTGATGTTGGAATTTATAATTTAATTCTTCTTCCGTATCAAAATTTTTTACTTTTTTAATGAAAAGTTTATAATTATCTAAAATCTAATTAAAGCGATATCACATATTAATAATAAATCAGAACTTTGCTCAATATTAAACAAAATATCTACTTACTATTTCCACAATTGAATTTTTTCTTTCTATAGTCAAAATCGCTGTTCCTTTAAGAACATTTTTATGAAAGTCTACATACAAGTCTAACTCAGTATGAATTACACGTGCGGATTCTAATAATTAGAAAGTAATAAACAAAAGTTTAATAAACGAAAGTATTAACAAATGTTTTTAATAAATAATAACATATGACACAATGTAATATTTGTTTTTAAAATGTAAATTATAAGTATTAAATTGTTGTGCTAAATATGTGTATAAAATATTTTATACATTTAAGAAAATTAGCAGAATTCCGTCAATTAATTAAATTCGTAAAAAATTAATTTAATTTTTGAAAATGTATATTATATTATAATTATATAAGGTCTAAAGAGAGAGATATGTATGATATTTCATCTTTCGAACACTTTAATGAATTCTTTCTTTAAATATCCTTTATTCTATCTTCTTTAACAAAAATTAAGTAATGAACAGAAATTAAATAAACTAATTAAACAACTAAAATACCTGGTACTGCAAAGGATTGTGGATGTACTGAATGAGATGAATCCATTTTTTAAAATATTCACACGTTGTAGCCTTTCTAATAAAAGTAACATTCAATAATGAGAATCTTTATATTTAAACCGCAGCTGTAAGGACACAATATAGTTTCTCTTACTGTTATCCATTTTTCTTTGTTTGGCAACATTATTTGTTTATTATTATGTTATCACATCGCTAAATAACTGTGAATACCACGTAAATGATTTTGTACATACATCATTTGACAGACACAAATCAAACTTGTAATATATGCGCAGTTTATTTAATTTAACTTTATAGTATAGCCAAAGAAACGAGAAATTTTCTCTGCATTTATTAGCGAATAGTGAAAAAATATGTTTTGATAGAATTTAACACATATTATTATGCAGCGCTACCTTGTTGATGCCATTTAATAAACTGAAGCGTTGAAATGGTATATATTAAACGTATAATTACTTTTTCATAAATACAACAAAAATTATGACTGCGCTTGGATGCAATCACTATTTTTATATGATTTTAAGAAAATGCATATTGTTTCGCCATTTCAAAACGTTTCATGTTTGTTTAATGGTATCAGCTTGTACTTCAGCAGACTTTTGATCGTTTTTCAAAAAATCTTTATCTTTAGTTTTATACCTTAACGTAAATCACATATATTGTTGTGTCTCTTAAAATTTATGCGTACAGTACAATTTATGTGTAGATTGCTAAAAAATTTGTTTAAAGGTTCAACTTATACTTTTATAAAACAGTACAGAGAGCTTTACCTACAAAATTCTTTCTCAAAAATTTTCTTGTCAATACGCGACATTGAAGCTATAAATTTGCATAGCTTACGTAATTAACGTTAAAATTTAATAAAATGCCATCGTAAAAAATTAAAAATGCATTTTGAAGCTCGAAATTTGTACTTTAACATGCTTGATTGTTTTTAAATTTTATTCTACAAAATGGAAGAAATAAAAAATTTTTGCATTAATTTTTTCAAATTTCATGATACTATTGTGATTGTTTAGCAATGCTAGTTGAATTTCAATTTCGCATAATTCAGTCAAAAAAATTGCAAGAAATTTTTTTAAACAGCATTTTGTAGGTGTATAAAGTTTGTACTGGTTTTCAAAAATACTGAACTTTTTAAAAAAGTATTTTTTTTTATCAAGTTGCAACTTTAGAATTATACTCTGTATACATTATACTAATACACTTTTTTCGTAATTTGACTTTTCCATTGTTATCTACATAGGATAATTAATCCCAAATAATATTATATATTGATTGAATCATAAAAAAGTCATCACCGAAAATCGAATACCCGATTTTTATTTAAACTATAATTTTGATGTTATCATCTGAGTTTGATTATCAATAGATAAATGATAAATGCAAAGAGAAAATTGTAATTTTTCGGCAAGATATAAGACATTATAGCATTAAAAGTATGAGTACGTGTTTATGCAGTATTATATAATATAATAAAAAAATTACATATTTAATAACGTATTATCAAAATGTGCATTATGCGCTAATTAAAAAAGTAATAATCTTGCGTCAATTTCTGTAAGACCGATTGTTCTGTGTGATATGTTTCGTCGGTATTTCTAAAGAAGTCACGTGATCTACTTTTCATTGTCGCCGCATGCCGCCGCTTCCTACGCGTATGGTGTATAACCTTAAAACCTGCTTGCTTTTACAAGAAAAAGAATAGGTAATGTAAAATTTTATTCGTTGGCCGTGTTTCGTATCATTCAAGTTTATTCTGCACGCATCTCTTGAAGCTGCTCTCTTTTATTTAAAAAAATCTGTTGCGCTTTGCTCCATATTGAAGTTTAGGGAGCATACATAAAACACGCGGTCTCTCGCTTTGGAGTCCTAAAATTATTAGATCGCCGTCTGCCACGTTTACGTTTTACTCAAGATATTTTAAACGTATAACGTTGTTAAGCTCGTTTCTTGCATATTCCATGTTTACATCAGTTTATAACTGTGTGTTTATGTACATTTGTTGTGTAAAATGTTAAACTCGAGGGTGCAGCATTTTGAAGTGTAATTAATGAGTGACACATACCGTTTATTACATTTTGCCTGATCGTTGCAGAGCAACCATGAGTCGTTTCTTCGCAACTGGCTCAGATTCTGAGTCTGATAGCGCATCTGAGGAGGAGCAGGTTCAAAGAGCACCTGCGACAGCTTTTACTGTAAGTATCATCATCGATAAACATTTTCATTATATTTTTAGATGGTTTTTATTTAACGACACAAATCGACACAAGTGTCGCCTTTCGATATATTCAACAGAGAAACCAGTTTTGCAATTGTTGTAAAATTCTTGAATATATTGTTTTTGTCCCTTAGTTTCTCACAGAATCTAGATGTATAAACAATCATGTTAAAGAATTTTACGACAGTTGTAAGCTGATTTCTCTGCTAATCTCAGCCTTTGTTAACTCATGATGTGCCAAGAAAAATAAAATGTTTTGTGTCAATTAAAGTCATTAAATGGAAAGCACTCTTTGTTAATAATTTTCTTTTGCAATATCAACCTATCATTTGAATAACTCAAAGTATCTCTTTACAGTTTAGTGATGATGAGGAAGAGACAAAGCGTGTTGTACGCTCTACAAAGGAGAAGCGATATGAAGAAATTGCGAATCTTATAAAGCTTATTAGGAATTACAAGAAGATTAAGGACATGAGCAGCATGTTAACCAGTAAGTTTCAATCTCATAAATCTTTTATGTTTTATACAATTGAAAATTACATTATCAAGAATTAAGCATAAATATTATTTGTTACATGTGTTTCTTTATAAATATATTGATATAATGATTGGTGATTAAATGCTTTTAGTATAACAAGTATTTGCTTTCATAATTCTAGGTTTCGAGGATTTGATGCGAGCTTATCAAAAAGCTTTACCTGTAATCGCCAAGGAGGAACTTGGACAAACGCCAAGATTTTATGTTAGATGTTTAGTAGAAATGGAGGATTTTATTAATGAGGTATGGGAAGACCGCGACGGGCGCAAGAATATGTCTAAAAACAACTCTAAGTCACTTTCAACATTGCGTCAGAAATTACGAAAGTATAATAAGGATTTTGAAGAGGACATTGGTAAATTTAGAGAAAATCCTGATCAAGACGACGACGAAGAAGAAGAGAAAGGTTTAATTACTACAAGAAACATCTGAAATGCATGTTTCAGTTTAAATCTTTTCGAGATAAAAAAATCAATTATTCTGTTTTAGCCGAGGAGGTTCTAGAGTCTGAAGAGGAAGATGACAGTGCTGTAGCTTTTAAAAAGGCAGGATCGGAAGCAAGTGAACCTGATGTGTCCAAGTTCAAGGTTTTTTATGATACATGACTCTAAAGTCTACAATATATGATGCATTTATTCCTTGCTTATAATTTAGTAAACTAAAAATTCGGCGTTTGTGTGTAATTTGTTCTAGTAATTTGTTAAATCACGAACAACAGAAGAAATTGCATCGTATATTGAAGGCTTTAAAAAAATACCAGAAGTTGATTAAAATAATTGAAATATATTTTCTTGTATTACAGAAGATCGCAACCGATGGTGAAGACGGTAGTGAAAGTGAATCTGATTGGGGCAGTGATTCAGACAGTGAGAGCACAAGTAGTGATGACGAAGGTCAATATCAAAATATTCGTGAGCGTTTCATCAAAAAGTACGTTCTTTTAATCTATATAATAAAATTCTCGATAAAAATATTTTCTACTTAAATAATAGGTAAAATTTATTCATACATTATTAGGAGTATAAATAAGTTTCCGTCGTTTTTCCATCAAAAATTGGGCATTTATTGTGAAAGAATGGTACCTAATGTTTTATTCGACAAAGTATTGTCCATCGCTAGCCACTACTTTTTCCCATCTTTCTGGTAATTTCTGGATTCCGTCAAAAAAACAAAAGACGTCGAAACTACGTTCTTTGTCTTCGACGTCAAATTCACCGTTCTTAAACTTTTGAAACCACTCACGACAACTTCTCTCACTTGAAGCAGCCTCACCATATGCTTCTACAAGCAATCGGTGCGCCTCAGCTGCAGATTTCTTCAAATTAAAAAAGTAAATCAAAAGCTCCCGCAAATGACGCTTATTCGACTTAAAACTCGACATTTTCACACGAAAAAAGATATATGATGCTGATACAAAATCGCTAATATTTCAAGGTTATGTTGTTGGTTAACATGCTGGTGGCGCCATCTTTTGTCAAACGGCGGAAACTTATTTATACACCTAAATTGTATATGACACCATGATCTTTTTTATACAGAGCTACAACTCAAGAAGAGGATGAGGATAAAGCGAAGAGGAAGGAACAACGTAAAGAACGCAAGGAAAAGGAGCGAAAAAAGAAACGCGACGAAGATGATGGCGAAGGAGAATGGGAAACCGTCAAGGGCGGCGTAGCTATTCCCTCTGAAAAGCCAAAGATGTTTGCCAAGGATGCAGAAATTAATATCGGCGCGGTGTTAAAGAAGCTTTCTGAGATAATTGCAGCTCGCGGTAAAAAACGTACAGACAGACGCGAACAAATAGAACTCTTGCATGAATTGCAGCTGATAGCAGATGCACATAATCTTGGCTCAGCTGTAGCCGTGAAGATCAAATTCTCCATCGTGTCTTCCATATTTGATTACAATCCAAAGGTTTCTGATGCTATGAAGCCAGAATATTGGTCCAAGTACGTATTTTTACGTGAAATATATGTATATATTTTGTGTATATAATTTATAAACCTTAAGATAAAAGATTTAAAGTAAGCAAGTATTAAATAGATAACATTTTTTACAGAATACTTGAGCGCATTACCGAGATGTTGGATATGCTGTTGAGCAGTTCTGATATGGTAATAGCAGAAACAATAGCTGAAGAAATGGAGGAATTTGAAACAATGCCATTCAAAATACATGGTTGTGTATTAACGCTGGTCGAACGTCTTGATGAGGAATTTACAAAGTTGCTAAAGGAATGCGATCCACACAGTAATGAATATGTGGAAAGGTAATATCTTTTGAGAGAAATTATGCAATATATTTACTATTAAGGCTCCTGAATACTCAGCCAAGAACTCCGTGTTGATGAGTAGCGACACCGAATTAGTCGGTGGCTAGCAAAACTGGTAGTACGTTACTGGTTATACACACAATTGCAAGCTCATGTCCGTGTGCTCATTTTCGGGTAGAAGGGGAGCGCACAGACATGGGTTCATGCTTGTGTGTGTGTATAGCGCCTCGCCATGGTAAAAGTTTGAACTAATAGGCGAGAAAAAGTGATGTTTTGACGACAAAATTTTTCTTGCGTGCCATTTCGTCAATATTTGCTTATTTGTGAAAATGTGACTTCCCTCGTACTCGTGAAAGTCCTAAAAATTGCCGGAAACTGCAGTTATCGCGAAATTTTATACGTAAAAGCGTATATTTCACTCGTTTCATCAGCTGTTAAATTGTGTGATTCTGCTCGAAAATAGGCTCACTTTACGTGTCTTTTACGACCATTTACTGACTATCAGAAGAGGAAAGGACAGTTTCCGGCAATTTTTACAAGTGTTTTTGTGCGATCTCGCCTTTTAAATTTATCCAAATTGTTTTTATTAAAAAATGGGACGCAAGAAAAATTAATGTGTTTTTCTCGTCTATGACGTCACAATTCCAACATGGCCGTCGCCGGTATTCAGGGTCTTAGGGCTACGCAGAATAAAAGGAACAGGGAATAGAGAACAGAGAATAAGAATTTCAACCTATCAGAAATCATACTGTGGAAATCGTACTGTGGAATAAACAGTTGTGTATTCCATAGTACATGATTTTTGATAGGTTGAAATTCTTATTCTCTGTTCTCTGTTCCCTGTTCCTTTTATTCTGCGCAGCCCCCCTTAATATTGTCTACACTTGTTGCAGGTTGAAAGATGAGAAACAAGTTGCTGCCATAATTGACAAAGTGCAGGAATATTTGGAAAGACAAGGAACTGTATCCGAGCTTTGTCGCGTGTACCTTCGTAAAATTGAGCACTTATATTACAAATTTGATTCAAATGTTCTAAAACAAAAGGAGGTAATTTTTCGAAGTATTTACAGACGCACGAAACTTTTCTAGTTTATTAAATTGTCAAAATTATATTGAATTAGGGTGAATTAGGAGCAGATGTAATCACATCCGTGCAAGTTATGGAAAAGTTATGCAAATACGTTTATGCTCATGATAACACTGATCGACTAAGAACTCGTGCGATTCTTTCGCACATTTATCATCATGCCCTCCATGATAACTGGTTCCAAGCTCGTGATTTAATCCTGATGTCGCATCTCCAAGAAACCATTCAACATTCTGATCCAGCCACACAGGTTTGAATATGTTTTATACCCTTGTCTTATTAATAGTTACTCATTCTGTCATTGTAGATTAATTTTAATCTTGGTTTATTTTTTATCTTTTTCTAATTCTTAAAACTAGAAGAAGATAAAAAGTTAAACCAAGATTAAAGTTAATATATTAATAGAAACGGGCATGAAATGTATAAAAATAATTATTGCTTTTTTTTTTTAGATTTTATACAATCGCACAATAGCCCATTTAGGATTATGTGCATTCCGTCATGCAAATATCAAAGATGCTCACAACTGCCTGGTGGATTTGATGGTGACAGGCAAAGTGAAAGAACTTTTGGCGCAAGGTCTGCTGCCACAACGACAACACGAACGTAGTAAAGAACAGGAGAAGATCGAAAAGCAGAGGCAAATGCCTTTCCATATGCACATTAATCTGGAACTTCTGGAATGCGTATATCTTGTTTCAGCAATGCTCATCGAAATTCCATACATGGCTGGTATGTATGTTGTCTGTGTTTAATATTTTTTTATATTATATATATATTTACAGTTGCATATGAATAATACACACACACATTCACACATTGGGTCGTCCGGAAAGTCCATGCGAAATTCTCAAGCAAAATTCTATTGAGAATGGAATATTCCGCACGGACTTTTCAGACGACCTAATATATATATAAACATTATCAGATACCAAAAACCGTTCTGATCAAAAATAGAGCTTCTTATTTTACCTCTCTCTCTCCCTCTCTCTCTCTCTCTCTCTCTCTCTCACACACACACACACACACACGTGGAGTTTATTATATGCGGTAAATTATTCAATTGTAGCACATGAGTTCGACGCGAGACGAAGAATGATCTCGAAAACTTTTTATCAACAACTGCGATCCAGCGAACGTCAGTCATTGGTCGGACCTCCAGAATCCATGAGAGAGCATGTCGTTGCTGCTGCCAAAGCAATGCGTAACGGAAATTGGTCCGCTTGCAACAATTATATTATAAATGAAAAGATGAATGCAAAGGTATTTCAGATTTCCATTAATAATTTTCTTTAAATTGGAAATACGAGCTAATGATTACTTTTATCAAAATAGGTGTGGGATCTTTTCCATCAAGCGGACAAAGTGCGAGCTATGTTAACACGATTAATCAAGGAAGAAGCATTGAGGACTTATCTGTTTACGTACTCGCATGTGTACGATTCGATTTCAATGCCAAAGCTCGCTGACATGTTTCAATTAAAACGACCCATAGTCCATTCAATAATCAGTAAAATGATCATTAACGAAGAGCTCATGGTATTATGCAGAGATATCTTTATGTTGCACATACTGATTTACGTAATTCTACATAATTCATATATTCTTCTTTTATAAACCTAGGCATCGTTGGACGATCCAACTGGAACTGTAGTTATGCACCGAAGCGAACCGAGCCGCCTTCAATCGTTGGCTCTGCAATTGACGGATAAAGTCAACAACTTTGTAGATTCGAACGAACGTATCTTCGAAATGAAGCAAGGTACATACAACGAATTAAATATTTTTGATGATCTTTATCATGGTCTTACCATCACGATCTTCTTTTTGATATATCATAATATCAACTTGATTAGTGAGAATGACTTGATTATTATCAAAATTGTTTAATTTTTATAAAAATTAATATTGAAATATTCATTCTAATATCAATATTCTATTTGAATAAATTGTTACTTTTATTTTTTATATATTTATATTTTGTCATTTTTAACGTTTTTTTCTCAAACCTGATTTTGTCTGATCAGTGCCTGATTTGATCTGATCTGACTTGATTTGACTTGACTCCAATTCTGACTGTATAAATTACAAATATAATAAAAAGTACAAAGTTATAAAAATATTGATCTTTTATGATAATATAAACGGAAAGAGAGATAGGGAAAGAAAAAGAAAAGATTCAATCATATTTAATTTTTTTTAATTTTTTATATTTTAAGTTTTTATTGACAGAAATACTTTAAAAAGTATTTAATTAAAATAATTTAAAATACATCACTATAATAAAAAAAATAGATATATTAATATGCATATTAATTTTTGGAAGTTTAATCAAACAATATTTTAACGGAATTATATACTACATATGTATTTTACATATTTATTTCATAATGCAGCATAAAAATTAATCTTTAGCATAATTCAGTTTATAATAAATATAAATTCTTGCAGGTAACTTCTTTTCGAGAGGGAATCAAGGCAATTTCCGCGATCGTCAGAATTATAATCGCCAAGGACAGGATTGGGGCCGGCAGAGACGTGATCGCGATCGCGATCGTGATCGTAACAGGGAAGAAAATCGAAATTATTAAGTATATGATAATATCGATATCAAAATGGTGTGAAATAAAACTTGAGGTATCAAACATCATTGTAACGTTTTATCAATACATAAATATCGATGACATTATATATAAACAATTATATTCCGTTAATATATTGCAGAATTATTCAAACAATTTTTTTCTCACAATTGTCACAAAAAAGTATTATATATAATTTATATAAAACAAATATGTATAATTTTGATTTATTTATTACGCGAAAAAAAACATTTACATTCCTGACAGATACCACGAGTCTTCATATCTTTTGTATCCGCTGGATGAGTTTGTTACCCGTTAGAATAGTGTCGGATGTAAGAACGAGGCGTATCCCTGTAGACTTTTCTATGAGCCGGCAAGCCGCTATTTCTGCGCAAGTAATGCCTCCTATTATGCAGATCACGACCATTTTTGGCGATAATGTGCCTCGATGACCATTTACAATGCAATTTGGTAGATTTGTCAGATCCTCGAAGCTGCGAGGATCCTTCTCCTGATTCAATACAATGTTTAATATTTGTGCCTGTAATATATTAAACGATATTGTATTCATATTACATAGTTATACGTTGCTTAATTAATAATATGGAAAAAGAATGCAAATAAAATACAAACTATTGCGGGTATGTAAACGTTATTGAACACATAGCTAGGACAGGTACGACCGTTCTGATCGGATCGTTTTGAAGAACCAGGTAACATCTTCAATTTTTGCGCATTGCTATTCCACTCGCTGTTCCAGTTCGGCAGTTTATGTAAAATAAATTCGTTCCTGTACTTCAACAAGCCAGTTGTGTGCAGCTTGTAAAACAGCGGGATATGCTGATAACCATGGGTATGAAGATGCATTTTTTGGATATCTTGAAGCTCGTTTTGCGTGATACCGTCAGTAGTGATAGACAATAGGCAGAGAAGACGTAAACATCGAAACTCATGCTCATCTACAATAAAAAATATTTTACATGTTAATCGTAATTAATTTCTAATATCAATCGCAATTAAATATAGTCCTAATTTAATTAATTTTAACGTTAGAAAAAGCACCTATATTTCTCTCAATGTAGCTCAAGCATTCCTTTCGGTCCTTGCAATCGAGCATCTGTTTCTCCATCTTTTGCAAGACCTGAAACTCGGAGCCTAACGTGTCCGCGATAGCCTGACACGCAGATATATGAAATGCCAATTGCCGGGTCATGTCTCTGGTCATTTGCAATCTCGTTGACACATATTTCTCCATTTCGGCCAACTTCATCGTCTGTATCGCTTCCTGTTCAGCTGATATTAACAAGTCGTTAAAATATCAAAAGCGAAACATGTGTGATACATAATTAGTAAATAATAAAAATAAATACATTTGAGTGACTTGGCCTTCCTATGTAAAATCGGGAAAGCGTCACTGCAAGGTGTATCTCTCACTTCTCCGTAAATTTGATCTTTATTCGGATCTAATCTGGTTTGTGATTTTTCCAATGTCGCCATGCCGACATTCACGTCCACAATTTCATTCAATAAACCCGCGTACGTTACGGGCGTTAGAAGAGTTGTAGCCAAATCAAAACTTCTGTCCATCACGATGAAAGCGCCGACCTCGTTTTCTAGACTAGATGAGCCCAGACTCTGCTCCATAATTTCCATCAACTTGGTCATTTGTTGGCTGTGTTTGCCAAGAAAAAGTGAGAGCCTCGGCGAGCCGAGTATCAACTGCAACGACCACAGACTGCGCGCTAATGCTCGCAGAGAACTGGTGTCTTTATGATAGTAGAGATCGACGAACATTGGATTTTCCAAGGATAAAACGTTTCCGTCTAATTTTATAAATTCTACGGAAAACGTCTGCAACGTAAGCAGCTCGAACAAGCCTGAATAAACGATTCGATCATAAAAATAAAAGTGAAAAATTTCGTTCGTGTTATGTAAAGCAATCTATATGGAAATATGGTCAATAATCGAGCTAAATAAAAAAATGTAAAAAAAATAATTAAAACATTTATTGCATATTTAAGAGTGCGTTCTCTTAAAAATACAATACATATTTTAATTATTTTTTACATTTTTTATCTAGCTGGATTATTGACTAGATTTCCATCCAGTTATAAAAGTAAACAGAACAGGCGATGATATTATAATTTGCTGACCTTCCTCTTCGACTAGATTGTATAAAACAGGTGGAACAAACGGCACGACCAACAAATGATGGCACACTTCGACGTGTGGTTTGCCAGTTTGGGATATTTCAGATTGTATTTGATCTAACACCCTTTTACACGCAATCAAGTTGTTAGATACTAAAAATATACGTTGACTGTTTGATGTCTTCAGTCCTTCCTCTAACTTATAAATCTTGTCCACTCCATATCGTCTAACAATAAGTAAAATGATACACAATTATTAACATTAAATTGTGATAATGAAAATAACATGCATATTAGAATATGAAAACATTTACTTCAATACTGTCACTCCCACGAAACTGTCCAATATTTTCATCAGTTTCTGTTCTATTATCAAATCCTTCGATCCTGGGATGGTATCTAATATCTTCACAAGCTTCTGCTGATTAATTTGTTGAAATGCAGATAATTTATCATCTAAGGTGATATCCATTTTGTTTTACTATTAATAAATCATGACATATATACATAACACAGTACTCCAAGAGAAGTGATCTCTAAAGCTGATTATCTTCACAGATGTCTTTCATATCTAAACATAAGATTTGGAATTATTTCTTATATATGTGTATATGTATGTATGTATGTGTGTAAAATTCTGTTCTAAACATATTAGGTTAAATAATATATAAATACAAGCTACTTTCATTTTTTTCTTTCCATAAGAAAATATATAACCGACTGTTTTATACAAATAAACTACAAATGTAAAATATAACTTAAGTGTAGTTATTCTTTTACTTCATTATCTCTCCTTACAGATAGTTCTATCTAAAAACAAACTATTCTAACTATTTCCACAAATACTTTTTCTATCTAAACACAAAATATTTAAAATAATTGATTTCATATACAATTACCGTGTTAAGACTAGAAACAGGAAATAATTTTACGAATGTAATATCAAAATAGAGAGTATAAATTACTATACATTGCCGTGTAATTTTTATAAATTTATTTAACTAACATATTACCATCAAGAAAATTATTTTATTCAAAAAATGACTACAGAATTCTGAAAGGATTTGTAAATTAGGACACTATATTTTTTGATTATCTTTGCGACTGAAGAAGACTTTGTAAAGTTGAAACTAGTTTCGCTCAATTCATAATAATTTGAACATTAAAATTATTGTGGGGAAATGCTCTGGAGAACTGAATTGCATACTGTTTTTCAATCGTACTCTTTATTACATGTCATGCTTTCTTGGCATTCATAACTCAGGTCCACAATCTCTTACTGCGTGTAGTCTGAGGGATTTTATTTAATATTATATTATTTTTATTAATTATATTATATTAGAAATCGAAATCATATTTTGTAATAATAAATCCGTACTCTAGTCGTTATACGGAATGTGATGTATGTCTCCAGAGTTTCCAGATGTTTCTGCGGATTGTCTACTTTCACTTGCAAATCTCGCGAGTCTGTCTGAAAGTCCGATATTTCTTGATCCGGCAGAGTAGAGAAGCTATCGATAGAAGGAGACGCAACCTGTAAGATTATAGTTGATATTTATATATATTGATTAATAATCAATTGTAGGGAATATAATAGACTATACACAGGATGGGCAATTGAGAGCAAAAATGCATATATGTGTGAGTGTCATTCTGCTTAATATATTATTGTATTATATGTATATAAGGAAGCTACTTTTATTCTTTTCTCTCTGCAAAAAAGTGATAAGACTTTTATATATCCAAATACGTAATCTGCAATTCTACAAATGTAAAATGTAATTTAATTGTATTTGTGTCAAAGTTCATGTTACACTCAAGAATAATATCAGGCATCCTTATATTTGACAAAAGAAAAGAAACAGTGAATTACACTCTAACAAAAATTCATTTTAATTTGCAATTAATTAATGTTTCTCAATTTCTCAATTTAATAATTTATTAAGAATTAATATTATTTTTTTTTTTTACTAAAAGTGGACATAAACGAATGTTGTTTATGATCGCAGAAAATGACAAAGTTCTGACAAGAAAATCGAAAAAAAATTGCTAAAACACGAAAATTACCGTAATTATCACGTTATTACATTTATCATTAAGGAGGCTCGCAAATTGCGGGCGCAAATAGTTGGCGCGATAAGCTGTCAAATAGTGTTCCTATAATAGAAACACTATCAAATTGCGCGTCAAACAACATACACGAGCACGAAGACTACTCCACCAGTCCACTTCCACTACTCAGCTGGTTTAGCAACGACGTATCACCGCCACGACGAAATTACGCACGCACGCACGCACGTAGTGCACGCGTGTGTGCGTCGGCAGCGTCTCGACTCGCTACTTATCGCACGAGGAGAATAGGACTCTGCGCACCGCGCACGTCGCGGCGGCGACCCTTTTCATCTTCCGTTCCGTCGCCGAGACAAGTGTACAATACAACCAAGACTCAAGTATACACCACTACCGCTCCACGCGAGCGTATTCGATGTTACACGAGTGCAAGCGAGGTTATTTAAAAATGGCGGACGCGTCGTCTTCCGATACTACTTCGGACTGCTGCAATGAATGTTTCTCTGATATTACGTCGGAAAAGTCAGAGTACGTTGTGGTGGGACGCAAGCCATGCACGTCGCACCGTCGCAGCAAGCGGAATCTTCTGCAGAAGCTACTGATAAGGGAGGTAGGCAACTTTAATCCATGCGACCCGAGTGGCATCGTGATCAGTGACAGGCCTCAAGGCACCGCGCCTCATGCTGTCAAGAATGATTTCTTACCTACGACGATTCCTAAAGAATCAGGGATTATTCGTCTGGCTTCATTAATTAAATCAGAACGAACTGCTGCTCACGTTAAAATCTAATAAAAGTTATTTTTCTTGATACATGATAAGTTTTAGAAGCTCTTTTTTTTTTAAATATCTTCTTGTACACACAAAGTCATAGTAACATCAATATTATAATTTTATACTCAACAATATAAATGTAATACAACACATATTGTATACAACAGTTATATTGTTAAAGAAATTATAATATCTATTGATATAATATTACTGTTATACTTTACTGAATTGAGACACATTGAGGTAACTCCTGGTTTGCCAGCATGTTAGAAAGCTTATTTCATACCTAGGAAGTCTTGGGAATAATATGATATAGGATTGATTTATGTAGGTAATTGTTATGTGCAAGGTATTCTGTAACTGCATGATTTTTGCTTGCAGATGAGAGGATGTCTATCAGCGCACAATTATGCCTTAGAAGAAAGACTGTTTACAGCTGTGCCTAAGTGGCGACACTTCCATCTTCTGCACATAATTCCAAAATCAGCGCTTGAAGCAGGGTATGCCAACAATCTCAACTTGATGCCCAGATTTATTTAACCCATTCTTTTGCTATGTTCTCTTTGTAGCTTTAGTCTGATTTAAATGAGATAAAGTAAATTGTAAATTGTTATATCACAAGCTCTTAATGTTTTCTTCAGAGAAATTTTAGCTCAATATTTATAGGCTGATATTTATAATAAAACAAACATTTTTAAATGATTATACAACAGGTTGGTGCTATAAAGTAATTGTAAGAAACAGATCTTTGAATCTTTCTTTATTAGTTGCCATAAGGCGGAAATTCATTTGCATTCTGTATTTCAAAAGAACTCTTTAGAACTTAAGTGTAGTTTTTGTTGAAGCTATTATTAAACAAATAAGATGAAAATATTCAAGGACTCTTAGTATAACAATAATAAATACAAATAGAAAGGGCGATGTAAGAGTCAAGTAAAATTTCATTTAAAAATAATACAATATATATATTTAACGTATATTTGTAATGCTGACACACTAAATTAACATTATTATCGTTCGATTCTCTTGGTGAGTTTTTTTTTTAGAAATTTTGACACAATTTGTTTAACATTTAAAAGGAAAGTTTTTTACCATCATTTCAGAGATATTGTTATATTGACTTTTCAATTTTTAGATATATTTATTTTCAATCATGTATAACCAAAATGTCATTTTTCTGTGAAGACTCGCATTATTAAAATAGAGAATGTATCTACGACCGATCTTCTGACGAATGATTTTATCCGCCGTTTTTAATGTCTGAGGAGGGCTCAATCCGAGAGCCAAAACTTGTTACGCAATGTCCATCATGTCATTTTTAAGTATAATTTTTGATATTCTATTTTTTATATATTTTTATATTTATATTCTATTATTTTTTAAAATTTGAAATTAAATATATATATTGTATTATTTTTAAATGAAATTTTACTTGACTCTTACATCGCCCTTTCTATTTGTATTAATTA